TTTCTAGTAAGTTACATCTGACAAATTATTTTATGTTATATAGAATGGCCTGTCAGGGCTTAATTCCAAAAATGAAATCATGTTGGCTTTTTTTAAAAAAAATAGCTTTACAGATTTTCCCCCCCAGGATTTTATCATCTGGGCTGATATTTCCGTCATTTGTTACTGGATATTACATTTCTAATGTGTTCAATTTGAAGGCAAAAGGAGAAGGGGACGGCAGAGGATGAGATGGTTAGATAGTGTCATTGATGTAGTGGGAATGAGTTTGGCAGATTTGGAAGACAGTGGAAGACATGGAGACCTGGTGTGCTATGGTCCATGGGGTCACAAAGAGTTACACACAATTTAGTGACTGAACAAAAATGTTCAAATGGACATTATGGACATTAATAATAAGCGTTAATAATGATTATGACATGCCAGCTACCAAGTCATCTTTGACTCTTAGTGACCACATATGTAGATTTTCTTCATGATAATCTATCCCTAACCTGTTCTTTCAAGTCTCTCAGCGGTACATCAATACAAAATTTAAATCCAAAAAGTGAATGCTGTCTGCATTCCTTTTATCATAGATTTGACCCACTGTAACCTTGGTGCCAAAATTGTACTATATTATTTCTTAGATAGATTGCCATTTCTTTGCTTGAATGTCTAACGTATATTGTGTAAGCTTTCTTTTATTTGGATAAAAATCATTCATGAAGTTTTTTGGCAGAATGTTTGGAAATGATAGAAATCTGCAATACCACATGGGCTAATTTGAATTATACTCTGGGATGAATTAAGCTGTGGATTCTTTTGAAGATAATTGAATAAGAAACTGGGCAGAACTCAACTCTAATAAACTTGCAGATCTGATTCTCTGGAGATTTGACTTTATAGCCACTACGGTCATTTTGTATTTTCTCCTGTTCAATCATGTCCAGTTCTCAGCAATGTCTGGACAAGTCCATGCAGTTTTCTTGGCAAGGTTTTCCAGAAGTGGTTTGCCCTTGCCTTCTTCCTAGAGTTAAGAGAAAGTTACTGGTCACCCAGCTGGCTTTGTGCCTAAGACAGGATTAGAACACAAGGTCTCCCAGTTTCTAACCTGATGCTTCAATCACTGTACCAAACTGGCTGTCACATTTGTTGTAGTTCCTGAAAAATATAACTTTCTGAGTCTTCCACAACTTTCTGCAAGGCCTGCTCTTGAGTTTTGTTCATGGCGGCCATAACTCTTGATGGCAATCTTCAGAATCTAAATTTAAGATAACAGATAAAAGGGAGATCAGAAGCAATATTATGATTCTTCTTTGGGGCAAAGAGACCTTTGTGCAGCTAAAATATTCAGTACTAACACAGCACACAAACAAAAGAACCAGGTTGCCACAACATCTACAAAGATCTCTGAAAAAGTAGATGTTAGATCAAACAAGCCTTTACAAGCACAGTCACCCAAATAGATGTGATTTCAGGTTAAAGTGCTATGTAACAAACAACAAGCTGTCTGCACTTTTTCTACTTCCCATGAAAGTGGGAAAGTGGAATTTTACTTTGACAGCATCTCTTGACTGGTAGCAGACAGGACCAGGTGATTTAATCTTCAGGCACTTGGTTCTCTGAACAGCCTATGAATGTTGTCTTGCTCTGCGCTGAAAATGCAAAAGGTCTTTAAGAAAACTTAAATACGTTCTATGTTTAACCATAACAGACTAACAAATTGTTGTGATCATTTCCAAAAACATGCCCAGAAATTGTACTCTGTAACTCTCCAAGGAAGGATCTTCACTGAAGTGGAAATAAATGAATTTGTCTCAAAGGAACAAGGCCCTTTATTGTGTTTGCTGGAGGAAAACAAAACATAGCTGGTTTTCTGGAAACTCTTTTTTGTGATTTGAGGCTTTACCTGCAGAAAGCCGTTGTAACCAATTTCACTGTAACAGTTCTCACATTCTAGCTCTCCGTGCAAAGTAAACTTGTGCCTCCTTCCATCGTCATTCAAATTCAGCTTCTGCAAACTCAAGCCTTTTATGGATTGAAGCATGCATGACAGTAGTTTTGCCAGATATGGTTAGCGTCTTGGTTCTTTTTCGCTGGACCGATTTAACACGACAGACTTATCGAGTTACTTATAGGAAACCAATACTTGAGAGAGAACGGAAATGTGAAACAAGAGAATGAATGCTGTTTCTTCCAGTCTTTCCTTCATCAACTATTTCTGTTCTTCATTTGCAAGCAGACAAAAGCAGAATGATAAGGAGCGGCCTTGCCTGGTTCTCGGCAAGCTCCCGTCCAGCATGCAGAATCCCCTCACTCTCTCCTGCAGAACTGAGCGCCCTTTTGCGCTTGTTTAGGCATCTCACTCAGCCGTTCCAAAGGCCCTGAAAAAGCACCAAGAGAAGAACTCAGCAGCTTGGCAGGCTCTGCCTCTTGGAAACTTTGTAATGCAGGAGACAGTGCCCACCATTGTGCTGCCTTTCTGCCATGGATGGGAGTAAAACAAGCTTGAATGAGTGACTCATTTCAGGGGTACATTGATGTTTACATTTGTCTTGCAGGACTTTGCATATTTTCTTTGGAGGCCTAATTTCAGTCACCATGAGAGTAACTTCTTTTTTTATATATATACTGTTTTCTTTCATGACATGGATCTCATTTCTTCATCCATCCATTCAGACTAGCACAGCTTTTCCCTCTAGAGGCTTCCCTTCATCCCAGTGATGGATTTAAGCAGTTCTATCTCTCGTGCATTTGTTTGTGTGAATGTTCACAGAACCAAACTCCAGCCCATAATTGCTTTATGTGTTTTGGATAGCCCTCCTTCTCCTCTAAGAATTCTCTTAGCCAAGTAATTAAGTATGTTTTTGGTTTTGATCCATTGTGATGCTGTTGGGATTTTTATCTATTTTGTAAGGATTGGTTGTCTTTATTCAATCATTTTTTTAAAATATATTCTTCATTATTAGCTGGTCAGACACTTCAGAAATGAATGGCATCAAATATAGTAAGTAAATGGATTAACATAAATATAGCAATGAAAACGTAAATGAGCTAAAAGTTCGAGAAATGTTTTAAAAATCAGCACAGAGAAGCATATTGGAAAACCCACTATCAAAATATTTTTTCTTGACTAATACACTGTGCCCATTACAGTAGTACATATCAGAGAATTATCCACCAAACACAAACATATTTTTAGCATAAACAACATAATAAAAGAATGCCACAGGAATTGGAAATTGAATCTCATAAATCTTATTTTGACTCTCAATAATGGGCTGCAAACTAAATCAGACCAGGATCATGGGGAGACTGGGACTGGCAAGCTTTGCCTGAATTGTGTAGTTTTGTACAGTTATATTCCAATCAGTATCCTTGTTGCAAACACCTAAGTTTCCCAGATAGGGAAATTATTCCTTCTCACCTACCTCCGGTCTTCATTATTTATTTCCATTGGTGTTAAATAAAGATAGCTCCAATGTGTGTTAATGTCCTAGCTAACTCAGTGGATCAAGTAATATCAATGGGCACAATACTATTGAATCAGAAAGCTTGAGAGAGTGAGTTTATGAAATGATTGATTGATTTGATTTGATTTATACCTATAACTGGTTATAGACGTTTACTTTATCATGCTGGGTTTTTATGTCTTCTCTCCTTTTTATTTTTAAAGAAAGCTTTATTCTTAACTGGCGTTGGAGCAGGGGATTGTATCTTTAAAGAACTGTTATTTCAACATACCTAGGTTGTGTTGAGCTAATTTGCCTAAGACACGGATGTCAAATTCGATCGTGTCACATGACATATCGTGACATATCACATTTTTTGCCTTTGCGGAGCTGGGGTGGGCGTTTTTATACCCCTGGCCTAAGAGGAAAGTAAATTAATGTCAGCCAGATGGCTCTCTTCCTCCCAGTGGTTTAGTTTAGCTTAGAGATTCTCTGTCCCTGAGATCAGAGAAAAATAATGGCGACTGATCGAGTTTGCAAGTCAGGGATGAGCAATTATTTAGGGATTGGGAGCATTTTGGTGATTGAAAGCAAAATTTCATTTTGCCAAGTATTTTGGCAAAGTACTTTAACGGTGCTTTGACTATTATTCCTGGCCTTAGAAAAACTGTATCAAGCCAACTATATGGCTCAAGGTATAGCTTGTTTCCCCCCCCCCCTCAAAATGGTAGAAAATTGTATTGCAAGTTCATCTAAATATGAAACTCCGTAGTATGAAAACAAAACAAAAGGGAGATGGGCTTTTCAAAGTTGACCTATTTAATTTAAAATATTTAAAGAGGACGAATATGAAAGTGGATTCCATGCATTTTTTTAGGGAAGTTCTTCAGCCACTACATACAAAATTATTGCAATTAATAAACATATAACTAATAAACTATAACTAGGAATTATAGGTTTATTTAACAATTTCATGTGCATGTATTTATACTAATCTTAAATTGCATCTTTATGTAAAATTATAGAAATTGGGAGGGAGAGTACTTGCATTTTCCTGTGCCTGGGCAGAAAACCAGAAATGTTGAATTAATTTGTTAAATACTGAGAATTTTTTATGTGGTCTTTTGTGCATATATTCTTAAAATTGTGTGTGTGAATGTGTTAGACAAAGATTTTTTTATAAAACCTTATCTTCCATGCTTGTGTTTCTTCAGCAAAATTGAAATATACTTATTTCCCAAGCAGAATATAAAAGTCATTTTTTATTGTTATAATATTTTGGGATATAGGTTTCTACTTATATTTCATAAACCAAAGAAGAATAAAGAGTTAGCTAATAAAATTAAACCATACACTCATCAGTTGTCAAAATAGGCAACAAGCAGAAATGTCTTTGAAATGGCCCCAGAGAAAAATTGGTTGATTTGATAAAACTGAGAAATTAAATGTTAAGTTTTAGAAATAAATCCATTCTTCTCCAATGGAGTCTTCTTTAAAGTGTATTTATTTATGAGTTTTAAAATAATTACAAAAAATAATTAGTTTTATGTTTTTGGTTTCTTTCAGGAATGATGGTGGTGATCGTATTATTGCTGATTGCTATTGTGGTTGTTGCTGTGTGGCCTACAAAGTAATCAGAGATTATCTCATTTTGCAACTAAGTGTTAATAGTCATCTATAGCAAGGACTACCCCACTTTGTTTTTGGCATTGTCCATGGATAGCTGTTCTTACTCCAGTACAAAAGACAGATCCATGCTTGAGCTGCATAAAGGTTCTACAAAATTCTGTATAAAACTTTATATACTCAAGAACATAATTGGAAAAGAAATGACTCACCTGAACTAACTTCAAGACATAAATTGAAATTAATTTCAAAGAAACACTTTGTCTATAAATACTTATAATAGTACTAAGTGGAATTTTCTCTTAATCTGCAGTGTCTAATTAAAATATTAGCATTTTCTTTCTTACATTAGTCCCTTATTGCTGAAATATATGGTTCTTCCTGAGAGAATGTCAAAGATTCAAGAGAAACTGCCATCTTTGAAGGGGGAACATCTTTCAAATAAAAAAAAAAAAAAATCCACAAAAATCTTTGACTTGAGTCAGAGGGCAATTACTATTGTAAAATGGTAGCTATCAGATATATATTTTGGAAAGAGAAGATAAAGTTTCTGTCCAAAAATGTGGAATCAAACATATTGTATTATACCTGGGTTTCTTTTCTTTATCAAGGTATATTAATAGCAGGGAAGAAAAGGAATTACTGTAGATACCCAGAGTTTCAAAATGTGTTTTTTTTCCTATATATGTTCTGAAAGTAAATGAAAATGATTCTCTTAGCAGAATTGGCAGGAAAATGACTTTCCTTCTCTCTGTAACTTGCCCTGAATACTCAAAATCTACCCTGAAGGATTAGCAGAGCACATTTTGGAGAATTATGAGGGTTGCCAGGGAGACATCCTGTTGTATCAGCATCTTTTTATTTATGCAACACTGGATTAAATCCCAGTCATAATTATGTCCTGATATTGTTATTTTTGCTATGTATATATTGACATAATGGATAGTAAGGCAGTAAGACTGAATAGAAGCCATTTTAGATCTATAGGATTTCTTTTCTTATCTTGCATTTTACTTTATTTTGTACCCTTTCCTGCCGGGAATATTTAAAGCCTTTATCTGTGTTCTTGGATATCTAGGATTAATATCATTCTAGCCCATGCAGCGTTGATATATGTTGAATAATTCAGATTTGAGAAAATGTGCTAAGAGATCTGAAGATTTCAGAAGAAAACTATCTTAAGAGCCTTATCTACATCTCTAGTAAATGTCTAAAATTCTTTAATAGACTTTTTTTTAGTGTTATTTAGTGTTTCAGAGTAATTGGTCTTCCTCATGTTTGACTGAATAGAATTAAAGAGCCATTATTGAATATGATAAAGGTTCAATTTAAAAAAACACACAGATCAATATATTAATTAGAAAGATAGGATAAAAATCTGCAAATGAAATGTTTGACCAACTGGTATCAAAGACTGCTTTTTCTGTTGCCAGAGGTTTTTACCATAGGGGACCCATCACAAGAAGTTGTCTTTCAATTGTACAAGCAAAAATGCAAACTATCATAATATAATTAATTGTATTAGACATGGATATCCCAAAGGTGCTTTTCAAAAGGCAACTGGACTTTTCATGACCTGGATGATTGAGAATATCCATAAACATGGATATACTTGGTGATATCAATTAGAGCAATAGAACTATACATCACAACTGAATTTGTTTAAAAAAAGGAAAATTCTATTTTGGGATATATTAATAGCAGCAATAGAGTCTAGTTCCCAGGAAATAACCTGCTCACACTACTCTTCTTGGTCATTCTCCACTTGCAAAAGTATATCCATGCAAACTGCATTGAATTCAGAGGAGAAACCAAAGAAAACCAAGTCCCTTGAGGAACATTTAAGGGATCTGGGTTTGTGTAACCTGCAGAAGACCAAGGGGTCATATGATACTAGTTTGTAGTATTGGAAGAGTTGAGAAGAGAAAGGAGCAGACTTATTTATCTGTAAGTCAAGGCCAGAATCAATGGATAGAAGTTGCAGGGATATAGATTCAGCTTGTATATAAAAGGAATTTCCTGATGGTCAGAACTTCCAACTAATGCCATTGGTTGCTTTGTGTAGAAGTATAGTTCCCCTTCAACAGAAGTCTTCAAACTGAATCTCAAGTTGTCCCAATTATTTAGCACAGGGCTTTTCAACCAGTGGTATGGGTACCACCTGTGGTACATTGGCACCTGGCAGGTGGTATGCGACCATCCTAGAAAAATGGTAGCGGAGGAGGAGAATGAGCTGAACCGGTGGCAGCACCGCACAAGTCTGAGCGAGAGATGGCTGGAGCTGCAGGGTTGTTAGGGCTCAGTGGAAGCGCCAGGATCAGCGCCAGGCTCCAGCTGGAGCTCGGCACTGATCCTGGCGCTTCCACTGAGCCCAGAAGAAACGCCAATCAGCTGGAATGTTGCAGCATCTCCAGGGTCTTGTGATTTACATTCAGATGCTTGGCAACTGATTCATATTTATGACGGTCACAGTGTCCCAGGGTCATGTGAAGTGAGCAAAACCTGCTGCAACCACCCAGCAGACAGGGGGAATAAAAACCAAACATCCCCCCACCCCACCCCCACTGCCAATCCTCAACAGAAATGCTCACAACAATAAAAACCTCGAACAGGAGGAAGAGCGCCGCCGGGCGGGCAGGCAGGTGTCTTGCTCGGCTGTGGCTTAGGAGGCACTTTTTTCAGTGCCATTGTAAGTTCGAACAGTCACTAAGCGAACTGTTGTAAGTCGAGGACTACCTGTACTTCATCACTTTTTTCCTTTTTTTTTTTTTTTGATCAAGTTTTTGACACCTTGCTAGGCGACTGGTGGTACTCGGATATTGCCATATCCTAAAAGTGGTACAATGGGTGAAAAGGTTGAAAAGCCCTGATTTAGCAGATCCTTCACTGAGCCAAAGGATTAAACTAGGTGACTTATGAGGTCTTTCCAACTCTGTGGTGAAAATAAGAATCAGAGGAAGCAGCTTCCTTTTTACTGAAAGGTAAGAGGATCACTTTTCCACTGAAGAATTCTGATCACTTCAGTTTAGGTTTTCATTATTACTGGAGAAATACACTTCTGAAGCTGGAACAGGTTGGTTTTTTTTCTGTATTTATGAATTCTTTTGGAGCAAAAAGGGATCAGAGAGACTTGATAGCTTTTAGGTAACTCAAGCACAGAAAAGATTGGCTTATCCCCCAATCTTCAGCTAAAATTGATTAATGCTATTTTCCCAAGTGATAGTTCTCCTTGGAGAAAGATGTTTAAAACTATCTCCTTGCTGTGATGTGTGTCTCCTAAATTAAATGTTGAAAAGAAATAATGCATTTTATGGTGGAATATTTTTCTAATACCGGTAGCATGATAGATTTTTTAATAAAATTTTTAACATCATTGGTTCTTGAAATTACATATGTAAAGCTTTTAGATATTTTCACACCTTCCCATATTTTATATTCATTTTTATAACAATGCAGTAAATTTAGCCAAGCTGAGAGAAAAGCAGCTGAATCTCTTGTGTTGGAAATGAATTTTGAGCTAAAGACTTTCTGGATATTTGCTTGCAGAATTGGGAAACGCGGCACCTAGCTAATACCAACTGGCCTATCTGTCATATGGAGATTGAGCTAACTCTTTTTTCAGGTCAAATAAATAGTGTTTTTAAACTTAAAATGTGTATTGGATGAACAAATAAATCCAAATGAAATTGTGCAGACACATCATTTATACAGTATATATTGGAGTTACCACAGGGAGTTTGGCACAGTTTGGATGATAGAATCTGCTTCTCATCTAATTAAAGGAACTAGTTGCAAGTTAATAGTTGACTGGCTGTTTTCAGAAGAGGAGCTCATTTTCCCTCAAAGCTGAAAAGGAAGTGTTGCTTTGTTCATTCTGATGCAACCGAAGAAACTGCCATGAGTAGAAGTTTATAATAGTTTATTTGACAGTTGTCTGGATTTAGTCTTATCAAGTGGATTCTGCACTGTTACATGCTCCATCTGGTTCATTATATGATCCCATCTAACAAATGAAGGTAAATGAAGGGTGGGTAAATAAGAACATCCACAACTTTTTTCCCCACGTGTCATTAAATATATTCATATATATATATAACCATAATATATTAGTATGCATTGTAAAGAAACATTGTCGCAAATCTATATGCAAAGGTCATAACTAAGCAACATTTACAATTCATAATTATTAACAGGAATAATAGGAACAGAGGAGTATTATCCCTGTATAATGGGGGGGGGGAGTTAAGGCGGTCAAGGAAACGAACATACAGTGGACTATGGAACAAGGGCAACAAAGCTGTATTACTTGTGTCTGACCATTTCAGTTGCTTCTTAGAATGGTTTGTGTTGCATTCCATTTGTTAATGTAGAGCTTGGAATATTCTCAAGAGTGCCTCAAGATTAGAGATCATATCAGTAGTCTTTATAACCCTCTCCTGCCACTCTTTTAAAAAAGGTGTAAGGCACCAATTGGTTCTACTGTAGATAATATATCTCACTGTATGTGTGCTAGTGATACTTTTCCCATCCAGAAAAATAAGATGATTTTCTTATAATTAAAATTTGTGTCTTAAGGTTGCAAAGTTGTCTTAAACAATGCAAGGTTGCATTATTTTAGCAGGAGTTTAGGAAGCTTTCCGGCTATTTAAGCCATTGCATTTGATAGAGCACTCTTGCTCTGTGCTAGGCCTATAAACTTCAGTTGCATTAGGAGTTTCCTTTTGCCTAACTGTTGGCCTTCAAATAAAATTACCAGCTGAAAATGTAGATGACCCTGGTTATATGCTGTCTCCTGAGAATGTATGATTATGTGGTGAGAATTATGCCTCTACCAATAAGTGGCCTAAAATATTGCAATGGATTTTATTTTATTTTTTTCTGGGTTTTTTTTTATTTGAAGCTGAAATGGTCTGTTAAATATAAGGAAGTATAGTTATGTATACAAAGCTATATTTACTGTATATAGAAGTACAGAACAAGCCCTTAATCATGTCAAGATAGACACTATTGAACAAACAAAGATTTTTTTTTACTACTGTGGGCAGAATCGGTATTGTTATAATATTTTCTAGAGTATTATATTTTTGATTAATATATAGATTCTGCACTCTAGCTATTTTACATTTTGTACTAATTCTACAATCAGCCTTGATTTTTTTTTGTACTTCTCCATTTGCTAGTTGATGCAACTATCACATTTCACAGCTTTTCAGAATATTTGTGTTAGAGAAAGTAAGACTTTTTTCAACTCTCTGAAAGAGATTAGACACCACGAACATATATGTTTTGTAATCATGTTGAATGATTATACATAGTGGTTATCAATATTTAAAAAAGCAAACACAAATTGCCTCCCACATTTCTGTATAGGATTACAGTAATGTTTGCTGCTTTGTAGTCAAGATCATGGACTTGGCAACAAAGGCACTGCCATAAAAACATCTTACCAAGAAAACACCTTGTTAATCTAAGAGATTACCCATTTGTAAATTAAGATAAATTTACTTTCTTTTGAGGTGCTGATTATAGGCCAGGCCTGCCTCCCTCCCCCATCTTGTCTTGAAATGCACACATTCAAAGAAAATCATTGCATCAGACTGCCCAACACATTACATAAAAATTGAGGAACAATTTCTAAAGGAATTTCATGAAATCCTAAACATTACAAGCAGATCAAACAAAGCAATGCACAGGACCACCAAAATTGTCTTTTAGGAATTCATGGAAATACATAGCTTGTGACATAACTGATATTTCTGAGTTATTTCTTGAATATAATAACTATTAATGATCCTGAAAATCTGTGATGTGGTTAAACTTTGTATACTGTTAGTAATCTCTCTCTCTCACTCCAGCCTTATGCTTTGTTCACAGTTCACCCTAGTGCTGTTATAGTTTTGTGGGCTACCTCACAATGCCAAAGAATTATTTAAAAACAACAACAACAAATCAAGACTTCTGTAAAGTCCTGACCTGTCTTTAATCAGCACAATCTGAATGAAAAATAAATGGTCATACCAAAAGCAAAAAAAAAAAAAAAAAAAAAAAAAAAAAAAAAAAAAAAAAAAAAAAAAAAAAAAAAAAAAAAAAAAAAAAAAAAAAAAAAAAAAAAGGAAAAGCCAAAAAAGCAAACAAAAATCTGAATGAGCAAATGGCCCAAGTATTTTGAAAAAAAAACCACCCTACTAAATGGGGAAAGATACCTCATCACTACTGCTAATGCAATTTGACTCTAAATAGATGCCTTGTTTTCATACATACTAGATAAACAAAATCCAATGCAAAACAGCATAGCGTTTTTCCTAGGACATGACCCACAGGAAAGTGGGTCACCATGGAAACAACTTTGTGTTTCTTAGTAAAATATGTATTGGATATAATTAAATGCGTCTTCTTTCACTATTTTTTTCTATTCATTTCCACATTGCTGTCTGGATAGTGGATCTCCTGTTATTTTGTGCCAGAGTAAAAGCTTGGTATCACTGGCTTTGGGTTCTCTGCTTTGGCTGCTAAAAACAACTGGGAATCAATCTGTTGATCTTGGCTAGATTTGGTGGGGTGGGTATAAAGTGCTCAGCAGCTACAAGCGTACTGTTCTTTCTTTGAAGAACTTCAATAGCAGATACTGATTATATTGCATTTCTCATAAAGTGGATCTCGAGGCGGTTGATTTTTTCAGAGAACTCAACCTGAAAAAACTAGATCTATAGAGATACTTTAAATGAAAAATAAACCAAAATGAAACCAATTTTAATTAGTTCAAACCCCTATTAAGAAACTATTGTCAATTCTTGAAGGCAGTGTGCATCTCCGAGAACAGTGTTTAGCCTTTTTTGTTACTCCATCAAAGCTATCAATATCACATTTCTGTGGTTTTGACAACAGCTTGCCATTTTCTGTAATAATGTTTAAGGTTAAGGTTACTTTTAAGTCTTGCCGAGTGATGTAGAGTTGCCAGTCATATCTTCTGTGTGTCTGAAATGGTGTCTTTGCACACATTAGAAATATCCAGCTTGCTTTTACCCAATATTCTTTAGTTTTCTGATTGTAACTACATTGTTTGTGTGTGCCTATATCTGTATATGTATATTATATACATATATGAATGCACACAATGTTAATTTTATAAGCCTAAGGCAGGAGTTTGAGCAAAAATAACAGAGGATTTCAGCTGGCATTCCAATGAATACTACAATGATCTGGAAAGTTAATTTTGACATGCTCAAATATGCTGGATAGTATTTCCATATGATGAACAAGCTGAGAGTAGAAAGTTGAGAAGTTTTACTGAGGTTAATACAAAAAGCCCCAGCTAAACTACACATAAGGGGCCTCTATTATCATGAACATCCCTTAGCAGATAAATCAAGATTGGAAATTATAAAATGTTTGAAAGCTGCTACTTTCTAAGAGAAGCAACTTTTGGAATGCACAGACTGATCTCTATGTGTATCATGATGAGTTGGTAAAATGGGCTGTATCAAAGAGTGGGATGGAAGGATGTTACTTTCTAATATTACCCAATGTGTAACATTTCTTGCTAAGAATAGAATTCAGAAGGGAAATCACAGCCATATATTATGGAGAGAAATACCCACAATGGAAACTCCCTTCTCAGTTGGTATTCTAAAATGTAAGGCTGATATTTACTTTCATTGCCATAGTTTTATAGACTAAGCCATTTTTGGACTTTCCCGAAAGGTATATAAAATTCCTCTGGATTCAAAATTAGAGCTGATGAAATCTCTGCTGACACAGACACCAATGCTGAGAGAATGGTCTATGTATTTTTCTGTCAGAAATTCAGCTGATGGAAAAAAGGGAGAGTCCAGAAGTTTCTGCGAGTGTGCAAAGCAACTAAGTCAGTCTATTCTCCTCTTTCCCAGGAACAATTTCTCTTACTCCCCCTACCATCCACTTCCCTGGCATCTGGCCATTTTATACTTATTTGTGCTGAAGTTAATTTTATGATAGTTTATGTCACATAAATATAAGTATTGTCAATTACTATAAAACAAGGCAAAATCACTGGAAAATTTCATTAAGAGAATGCTTCCAAGTTTCCTAATGAGCAACATCTTGGGGAAGTTTGAGCTTTGCAGGTCAAGCATCCCTGAGTTTACGCCTATCCAGACAGCCTTCCTGGTTTGCTTGCAGGAGAAGTGGAGATTGTATGAACAGAAAACTTGCTTCTGGTGAACTTCAATATGGAAGAGAAAGCCCACTGCCAACTTTTCTGTTTAAGGAAGTGCAGAAAATTTTTGTAAAGGAAATAGGGTAGAATGATTCCCTCATTCTAAATGATAGTCAGTACCAAAATTTACAAGTAAGAAATTAAAGGTACACATAGTAAGCTCTTTAAAACAAAAGGATTGATCAGCTATGACTCTTTTTCATCTTTATAAGCCATAGTAAAACTTTTTTGTTTTTTTTTCCCCTTCTCTTCATCCATGCATATAGGTAAGATACAAATCTTGACAAATTCAGCCAGCTCATAAGATTATCTGCAGCAACATGCTTGATAGAGAGTAGCATTGTTGGACTCTTACATGAGATATTAATGACCACAATTGAGACACACTAATGTGGAGAGATGGAATTTCATTGCATGCTTCCATGGTCTGGGAGCTGAAGTATTAACACGGTGTTATCTCAAGAGAAAAATCAATATAGGATCTGTCCTGTGTAACTTTTGCTTTATGCAATTGAGATGAATACTGATTATTTATAAAGCAGTTATTATTTTTGAGATAACATCTGTTTCATGTTTTGATGAATTTAGAAAGAAAAATAAACTCTCTTGCTGGAGTTGCGTTCACAAATTCAGCAGTGCAAGAGGTTTTTTTTAAAAAAGCCAGGTCTAGTAATTGGACCCTTCTTTTAGCTGAGTGTTGACTAGTGTTCTTCTACGCATTGCCTACTCATTATTCAACTGTTCCATAAATGCATCCTTCTTCACAATTCTCCATCTTCCTTTCTTTAGGAGTAAGTTGCCTTTTTGACATGAGCAATAAGAATTTAGTGTACGTTTCACACATCTGTGACTGCTCTCATTTACAATGGCTAGTATGTCAGATTGCACAAGCAATCTCATATGTCCTGTAAGTTGCTGTGTAACAGATGATAGAAGAACCATCCAGCAGACTATTATGCAGTTATAGCCCCATGATCAATTTTTAACCAACAATCCCTTTCGTCTATTCCTACCAAGACCAATCTGCAAGTGAAGAAATATAAGAGGATAGTTTCTGAACAGTATCGTTCTTTTCAATGACAAGCTGGTTGGTTCTTATGTTTGGAATTGAGAAGTAGTTAATGTGGTGAATTTAAGGCAGTTCATCATCCTTCAGACCAAAATGATTTGAGAAAAATGTGAAAAAAAAGGAAATCAAATGGGAGAACGGGAAGTAGTAACTGATCTAATATTTGTTACTATGGTGAGTAGGGATTTACAATTAGTTTTCTCACTAGTTTTTGTGTGGGTTTTGTATTTATGAGGGTCAAAATGGGCATAACTCACAGGCTATTAATTCCTCACTTGTCCTCCCCACCCAGTTGCATATAAATTGCAAAGTGAGCTTCTTGCCAGTGTTCCTAATCCCACCTCATCTGCTCTGACTCGGACACGAAAGGATGTGCAGTCTTTTCTTGTCTCTGATCTCCCCTCTAGGCTTTCTTGCATTTCCCCTTCTTTTCTCGTTGCTGGAACTTCCTCAGTCGCCTGGCCCATGTGTCCCTCCACTGTATCACAAGGCTGCTTTTGTCAGCTACAATGCCATTCTGATCTGGAGAGTTCTCATCATGGCCCAGTAACAAATATTTCTTCATAGGCTTGATCTTGGGACACTTGCAGGCAATGTCCTTGGAGCGTATCCAGAGGATCTGGTCACCACGCCGTATCCTATTCACCCCTTGCTTGTAAACAGAGATGATGTTGACTGTGAACTTCCACCATTCTGCAGCTTTCTCTGCTTTCAGGATGTGGATCTGGACAGCTGGAGACAGAAAGTCAGGAGAAGGTCATTTCTTTCATGGATTTTGCAGTTATCCTCAAGATAGTCAAGCACAAGTTACAGTGGAAAGCAAGATTTGCATGTGTTTACCCATTACACAGAAATGTAATGTGATTTCTGTTAGGGTTTTGTATGCCCCTAATGTTTAATTCCTTGTGCTTGGCTGAGGGTCACACATTCAGTTCAAAATGAAAAGCGGTGCTTACTTTAATAATTCAATAATAATTCAATCTGGGTTATTGATTTAAAAACGGAATAGTTCTTTAAATTATTATTTGTGCATTCCTATTTTTAAGAGAGATTATATTAAGATTATATTACATTTAGAGAGAATATATAGTTCTGGGTATAATATTTGGCTCCAGTGTTCACACAGCATGCTTAGCCTGGTCATTTACACATTTACAATACTTTAAAAATGAATGGTTTTAACTTTTATCTGTATATGGGGTTTGGGGGCAAGGGGCATGCATAGGTTGTTCAGATGCAGATTGTCTGGCTGATTTATGCTTCAGTATGATGTTTGCATCCCCAAAAGGCTTATTCACCAACCTATTTAAGTATTTTGTTCATATCTTCCAATGATTACTAAATCTCTCTTACAGAAGATTTTTTCTGTAAATGATTCAATACTTCAACCTGGCTGCCCCAAGCAAAGAATATATGAGAATATATGTTCAATCTTTTTCCTCTCTTTGTCATGATCTAGAGACTTTTCTTCCTACTTTTCCTTCTTTGTGATGATGTACTATATTCCAAGCCTAACAACGACGGGAAGACATTAAAAGAGAGAAAGAGACAGAAACCAGACTGTTGTGGCCCAATATGATGAAAGTGGCCATGGTAACAAAAGGCACCACTTTCATTTTCAACAAAGAGAAGGGGTAGGGGAGAAACAAAAACTCACCCAAGACGTTGCCACTTTGTGTTGTTTTGGCTTATCATGAACCAACTCCTGTAAAGAATCTTACATTTGATGAGATTAATAAGCTATCCTATTTTATTTTGAGTAGAAGCTAATTAGAATCTCAGAAATCAAGAAGTATACATAGTAAGGAGGAAGAAGAAATTTGATACTACAGTGAAATAGAGGGAAGAATTAATCATAAATTAATCAAATAATCTCAGATCTTCAACAGTATCAAAAATTAAAACCAAGCAAGCCTGGAATGAAACAGTGAAATATTTCAGAAGAGAAGATTGTTATTGCTGTGTAATGATTTGGTGCTGAATTCAGATTGAACTACATTTTGTGCAATTGAGGATACTGCAGTCATTGGATAGCACTATATTGTTTACATTGTAAGATGCCCAGAGTCGCTTTAGATGGGAGAGATGGGTGGCACAAAATTCAATCAATAGTGAACATGGGCCTCTCCCATAGTTGAGATTGACTTCCATTTTCATCTTTCACCTTTCCTTGGTGAGTAACAGTGGCAGCCAACCTCAGACTTGCAGGTTGAACAGTTCCAGCCAGTTCCCAAAGGCTGCAGTCATTTGCAGGCTTTGCAGGCTCTTAGGAGGACCCTGCGTTGACTATGTCAAGTAGCAGGCAGAAGAGCTGACACACAAATGCCAGCAGTGCTCCATCCTAGGAAAGTGCCTCATGCACTGCCATTGATGCCCTCCACAGAATGCCTTGCCTGCAGAAGCCGTGGGTGCCTAAATAGTTCACTGGTGAGTGAGAAAAGAGCAGCCACTGCCAGCTGCCTGGAAAGGAGGTGAGGAACAGCTGGACCATTAGAAGTAGATCTCTAAGAAGCTGCTCTTCCTCCCCCTCCAGCCCAGGGGAAGAAGCAGCCTGCAGAAAGGCAGGGAAGCTCTCATCTTGTGTAAGAGCAGCACGCCTTATCCTAATCTGTCTTTCACCTGCTGACAGGCCTACTATTGCCTGGTTGCCTGCCAAGAGCTCAAAGAGGCATTTGCCTAAAAGAAAACTTCCAAGCTAGCTGGTTAACAGGGTTGAGAACCTCTCACAGCAGGGGAAAGGAAGAATCCACCAGAGATAACTCCATCTGGTTCCATTCATTAAAAAGCTTGTCCTTTGAGCCTGAAAGCTATCCCGTTCAATCTCCATCCTGGTAGCAGGGAGAACTCATTTACAATGGCAGTGGGGAGGGGGGGGCAGCAAAGAGAGCAAGCAGCAGAAGCCCCCATAAGCAGCTCCACAAGATACTGCTTTCCAGCAATTCTCCCTCCCCCCCATCCCCAAGGCAAAGACCCAAAGAAAGTAAGCGGCATTTTTTTTTCTTGCCTGGGCTCCTGGGCACACTACTTCTGACATACAGATTCAGCTTTTTCTAAATGTATCTTAGATGTGCATACTTTTGAGATGGTGACCAGAAAAAGTTGGGCTTCCCATCCTCCTCTGTGGATTGCCAGCTGTACTGTTCAAGAAAAACAGTAAACAGTTCTAATTTTATTTATTTATTTATATCCCACTTTTATTGTTTCTCTAAATGTTGAAGAAGACTTCCTCTTATGGTAAATTTGCATTTCTCAGAATGCCAGCTGCATTCGCAGCCTAGGCAGGGCTCCAACTATTATACTCAAGCAAAAGCTGTGGGAAAATGGGTGGATTATGGGTAGAAGAATAAGGAGACCTCAAGGATGACGTGTTTTAGCTGAGAAGAGCTTTCTCTCCAGAGAAAGGCTAATATCGGTAAGAAATAGGCAAGATAAACATTCACACCAAATACTTATAATTTGGGAAAGTTTGTTTGCTATGGTCTTTATCAGCTTTGATCTTCTTGCAAGATTTTTAAAGAATTACTGTGCTGAGGACTGATGCACACCCAATAAATATACAGTACTGAAAGGAGATTGGAGCCACATTGGTCATTAACGTGCTACTAACCAACCACCAGATGGCACTATAGTACTATAGGCACTGAGAAATTGTGACCACTTCACAAAATGAAAGAAGGCACCACCTACACACATGCTAACCCCATTGAGATAAAGTCCTGCTTAATTTTGCTTGTAGATGCCAACAAGATTGTACTTTAAATGGCTTGCTTCTTTTCCAGCATGTTAGACACTGTATAATGTATAAATAAGAATTCTTAATGGTTATTGTGGTATGGGAGAAGTTATTCTGCATTCAGAATTTTCATCCATTGAAATTTCAAAGATATATCAAAAAAACCTTTAAAATAGTAAGGGGGGGAAAAGTTCTTTGAATACAAAATATGTTATTTCAGTCTTATATTAAATAAAGGCAAGACTATCAAACTAAACCAAACCTTGGTTTCAAAGGGCTATTCATTATAGTCATTTGAAACACCTTCCCATCTCTTCCAGTGTGTACAGGTTTAAAGCTGTCCGATTAATCCCTATTGGCTCTTAGCAGCTATTCTAGTTCCTATTATTGGCAAGCCCAGAGGCATTTGGAGTGGGGCAGCGTAGAAATTTAAATCATAGTAAAAAAATAATGTCCACCCTCTTTGTAGCAACAATCATCATTAATTTTTTAATCTTTGAAATGGGAACAGATTTATATGGTTTTCTTTTGTTTCATTTAAATTTAAACATCTTCAACATAGCTTTTGCAATTGTGTGATTCATTTTGCCTTTACATGGTTTTAACAGATTTGGCTGTGCCCCCTTCCCCTGTGGCTTACGAGCATCCTGTCAGAAGCTGATCTGTCACAGAGATTTCCCACATTACACGCAGAGGCATACAGCGGCAAGAAATTGTACCGTAGTTGTCGCCCTTGGAAAATCCTCCTAGCACAAAGCATAGCTTTACCGTATTACAGTATATGTTTCGCAGAAGAGTTATTAGAATAGCATATGTTTCTTCTTTCTTTCTCTCTGGCATTGCTATCCCCAGGAGTTTGGGGCTAAAATGTGGAACACTTTTTTAAATCTTTTGAAAACATTTTTTTTCCCATGAACAACTGCCTTTCAACAAAGAGGATGACTAACCAGAGTCTTCATGAAAGAAAGATTTTTCCAAAGAAGTTTGCAACTAGGGTGGTGATCTCACCTTTTGGACAGGAACCCTCCCCCTGCAATTTACCCTCTCTTGCACATCTAAACATGTACACTCTTACTTACACACACTATTTTTTCTTAATAAATATAAGAATTGACTGGTGGGAAGGCAATGCTTCTTGCTAGGTTCTCACTGATGTTTTGTGAAATAAAAGTTCCATTGGACTGTCTATCTCAGAACCAAAGTAAAATGAAATCGTCTTCAAATCAAACTTTACTCCTGGTGGCTTCATGTTGATACCCATACAGTTTTCTTGACAACAATAGTCGTTCACTACCTTCTTCAGTTTGTTAGTTTGTTTATTTTACATTCTAGTTTAGTCAACTTCTCAGCCTAGTCTACAGTTCTGGAATATTTGGTGAGGGCTTTCTAGACTTGAGCCTGCAGAATGAGATAAGGCATACTCCTGTTGGATGACTAATTTCACCAAAAAGATGTCAGGGTTTTTGGAAATAAACCAAGGTGCATATCTACCTGAAATACTACAATTCCATCTGCCTAGAATAGAAAATAGAAATGTATGCATGTTTGCCTACTCAGGTTTATGTGAAATAGTGAAGTAGAATGGAATAAACAATGCATCAGCATTAAGAGATTAAAGACCCCAGGAAACTGAAACCTTCTCTTGTCTTTCTCAATCTACATATAGCATTACACAAACCAGTTAAGGAACACATAGTCTCCCTGTATTCCTTTTGGGGGGGGGGGGATAATGACATCTCAATTGAACAGGTGTTAATGATTTCCTGGGATACCAAAGGTGTCCCCATATGCCATTGCATTTAGCTTGAATTGACACTTCTGCTTTTGATTCTTCGTATCGCTATTTTTAAATTAACCATCAGTTATTTCTGTATGAAAAATCAAAGATGAAAGAACTTCCACTACCCCACCACAATAGTATTTCATTGTTGCTCATCGTTTGACTGTGCCTTGTATTTAAATCTACCTGTCTTTAGTAGAATTTTAAGAATTGATTTGG